TGTGGCTGCCCAGAATGTGCGCTCCAGGAACTCCAGCCTCATTTGGATGCCCACCACTGCAAGGAAGCAGGAAGAGGGAGGATAAGACCATGAGCATATTTGTGGGGAGGGGGGTGGTGGGTGGGAGGGAAGAGAAAGTGAGAGAAAAAATAGATTCAAGTTAAGGAGAGGAGGTGCATCATCAGGAGCTGAGAGGAGAGATAGCACCCGTGCAGAAAGGGATGGGGAGAGCTGAGTCAGAAGGCAGCATGCAAACTGAGGTTCCTGGGGAGTAGGGTGCGGGAGAAGGGAAGACAGACTGGTGCTTTTGTCTCTCCACAGCAGACCAGACCAGACCAGAAAATGGCCCAAGAGGAGGATGAGGCCTGAGTTCTAGAGAACGAGGAGGATATATTCATCTTCGGAACTGGGAGGACCCAAGGCAGGTGCACTGGGAAGACCATCCCCCCTTTCTCACAGACAGAAAAGTAGAGGCAGAGAGACCGAGCCATTTGTTCAAGGTCACATGATCAACAGTGGTGGGACTAGAATTCACGGCCACTGCATGTTGCATAACTCATGAGGCTGCCTAGATTTCCAGCCTGATGTAACAACCTCTCTTGTACCCAACTTCTGCTCAGGGTCTCCCCACTTTGCTGAAAGTCATGACCATGTTTACCATTTATCCAGGTTTGCAGGCAGGTTCCAGAAAGCTGGAGACTCTACCAGCCTGCAAACACTACTCTTTTGATGATGCCACTTACAGGGCCACTCACACCTCTTTGGTTTCCAAATAAGGGTAGAGGATGCAAGGTGGTGCTCACATTCTAAGAGAAATTTGGGGTCAAAGAACAGAAAGAAAAGCAAAAGAATAAAACAAGTAGGCCGACTTCCTACTGCCTGGTATAATAATATTGAAAATGTGTTGAGTGCCAGGGACCTTTACATCCATGAGCTTGTTTCATCCACACAGTAGACCAGTTCTATTATTATTCAGACTTCACAGCTGAGGAAATAGAGGCTTACAGAGATTATGTGGCTTGCCCAAATCACATAGCCCCTAAATACAGAACTCATTGGGTCTGTCTCTACAGCTCTTGACTTCTCTATTCTCTAGGCCTGACTCAGCCCTGGTGGTCAGGAAGGAGCTGAGAGGAAAGCACTCGTCCATTCGGGGCTTCAGTTCCTCTCATTTGTAAAATGGGAATGAATCTGGGTTCCCAACCCTTACATCTTTTTCATGAGACATTCTACAGTCATTCCAATGGCCATTCATTGGAGAGATTTTCCATTACCAACATCCTGACTTCCTGAGACTCAGCCAGCTCTTCTAAAATGGACTGGAGTTCCAGTATGGCACAGAGATGCAGAATTGTATCCTTTTATTTTTTTCAATACGAAATTTGATGAAAAGAGAGGGAGAGAGAGAGAGAGAGAGAGAGAGAGAGAGAGAGAGAGAGAGAGAGAGAGAGAGAGAGAGAGAGCAGGGAAAGGTCAAGGGGCCAGAGTTCCAGTCCTGGGTTGGACTAGAGCCTTAATTTTTAAATTTTAGCATGCAACAAAATCATCTGGAAGGTTTGCTAAAACCTCATCCCCAGAGTTTCTCATTCAGTAGGTCTGAGGTGGGGCCTGATAATTTGCATTTCTAAAGTGCTCCTAGGTGATGCTGATGCTGCTGGTCCAAGGACCATATTTTGGGAACCACTGTTGTAAAACATCACTGTCTGATTGGACTTTCTGAGATGAAGAAGCTGTTCTAGATTCGTACTGTCCCATACAGTAGTCACTAGTCATATGTGGCTACTAAGCCCTTGAAATGTAGCTACTGTGACTAAGGACCTGCATTTAACATTTTAAATTTAATTCTAATTCATTTAAATTTAAATAGCTACATATGGCTGGTGGCCACCATATTGGACCACACAATTTTTGAGCAAGTCTGAGTTTACAGGTGAAGACACCAAGGCTCCTTGGCCATTCTATGGCTGGAGCTCTGGCTGGCCTTCCTGAGCAGGTCTTGTGATATGGGAACATTTGAGTTCTATGGGGGCTTCTGTGTTGCTTCAAAGACCAGGTGGCTGAAAGGAGTGGGAGGGAAGGGGACAGGTCATGAACCACTTCTTGGTTCATGACAAAGCTGAGAGGCACAAACACAGTGTGTGTGATCAGCAGGTGAGGTGACACTGGGGGCTCAGCCCTGGTTGCTGTGCCTCTTCCTCCCTCTCACATTTCTCTCAGTCAGAAGCTATAGGGGGCCCCCCTCATTCACTTCCCCTTATTCTTCCTTTTAAGACTGCCCTTGCTATTCATTTTAGGCAGATTTCTTTCACCTGTAGAAAAAGGCTTGAGTGAAAGAGGAGGAACCTTCTAAAAATTGTCAGAGAGGAGTCACATTAACGCTTAGAATGATCAGACCTTTAGGATTTAGGAAAGTGCATTTACCCTTGTGCTTGGCCTCTGGGGTGAAGGAGCCCTCAGACTATTCATAATGTGGGACTCTGCATCTCTACCTATTGCTCAACACCAGATCTCATAGAGTAGTGCCGTTTCTGAGCTGGAAGGAGTCCTGTGATTCTAACAAAGGGAGTCTTGAGAGGGTGGAGTGGGGCACAGAGCAAATACTCCACCCCTAGGACCCCTCTCAGAGCTAGACCATAAGCTCATCCAAGGCAAGCTCTGGGTCCTTTGCATCTGAATATCCTGTGCAGAACTTAGGACGTTCCAGCTGCCTGCTGACATCTCCACTTGAGTCACCAGTAGGTATTTCAAACATCACAAATTTAAAACCTAACTCTGACTTTTTCTCCCCAAACCTGACCTTCCTTGAAATCTCCCCACTTGGGGGACTATTCTCTACCTAGTTATCATTTCCCCCCATGTTATCCAAGTTCTGTAGACCTTATTCCAAAATTTCATAAATCTGTGTACTTTTCTCCCCCTTCCCAGCTAGCTAGCTACCACCCTGGGCCAGACCATCATCTCTCTCACTTGGATTAATTTAATAGACTACTAAGCGGTCCCCCTGACCTCCATGACCCGTTCTCCACATAGCCATAAGAGTGATCTTTCTGAAGATCAAATCACGTCACTCCCTTGCTTAAAGCTTTCGAATGTCTTCCCACTGCTCTTTGAACACAATCTAAACTCCTTTGTAACATTGCCTATAAGACCCTAAGGAGCTGGCCCTGCTGATGTCTCTGATTTCAACAGGAATAATTGTCTCCCTCAAACATGCGAAGCCTGTTCCCACTCCGGGGCGTTTACAGCAGCTGTTCTCTGTTCTGGAATGCTGTTCCCCTAGAACTTTATGTGGCTGGCTCCTTCTCGTCATCAGATCTCAGCCCAAACATCATCTCTCAGAGAGGCCTTTCCTCCCCAGATAGAGCAGTCTTCTCTTTCACCACTCATTCTCTGTCTTATCACTCTTTTTATTTTCTAAGCAACATGGGTCATTTATTTTATTCTCATTTATTGTCTGTCTCAGTCCCTTAGAATGGGAGCTAATAGCAGGCAAAGGGTTTGAGTTCTGATCCCTAGCACCTAGAAAGATACCTTTGCAATAGATATTTTTTTGAGCTAAATAAAGAAATATTTGTGAATCCCGCTGAGTCAGCCACTTGACTGGGAAGCAAATTCTGCAAGATCTCTCCATCCCCTGTGTCAAGGATTCGAGACCTTGCTGAACTCCTTCCTCTCATATGGAGACTTGCCCTCTTACAGATGTTGGACTTGAGATCTTGGAGACTTAGCTGTGCTCTGACTCCCTTGAAAACCTAGGAGGAAATCCATGAAGAAACAGAATTTAGGTGACACACAAAGAATTTGCTCATGGTAAGAACTGTTAGATGCTGGTCGGTGTGGAATGGGGAAGGTGGTGAGGAGCATAGGAACATCCTTAACCACAAACTGTCTGTGGCTGCCATGCCTGATGGCTTGCACCCCTTGGCCTTAATCATTTCAAATCCTCTTGCCTCACACCCCGAAAGGTGCTTTTCCACCCCAGACCCCGAGAAAGCCTAGCTTTCTCTCCTGGGAGACCCGTCAGGGCAGCTCAGGCCCCTGGTCCAGGCACTTGCTCCCTCAGGTGGTTGGCTATTGTCAGAGCCTCAGCGGACCTTCCCCTGGGGGACCACCATGCTGGCCATCCTCCTCCCTGCACCTCCTAGTAAGCCTACTATGTGCAAGAGATGATATTCATGGCGCTGTTTGCAGGCAGGCTCAGAATTCGTGGTGAAGAGAGGTATCCTAGCAAAGGGGCCCAGGGAACGTGGGGCACTCAGCCTTTCGAGGCGGCTTCCCCCATCCCCTGTGGGTTATTAACAGACACCTCCTAATTCCTGTGCATGTGGGTCTTTGTTTTAAACCCTGACCGTGGTCTCTGGGGACCTGCCACAACCCGATAAGGAGAAATCACACCCCCTTCCCCTGGCCCTAGCCTGGCCTGTACTGCTCGCTCCCTTCTCTCGTTTGCTTTTCCACAATGACCTGCGCCTTCCTCCAAAGTAGCTTTCCTTTAGGATCTCCTTGGCGGCCAGACAACCTAACAAAGAGCCTCAATAAGACCCACAGGCGGCAGACTGATTATCAAGATGAACCTCTGTGCTCTGCAACCCGGCTGTCACCTTGGTGCTGCTTTGTCAACACAGGAAGCAAAAACAAAAAAAAACAAAAAAACAACAACTGTGCACGCACACACTCGTGTACACCTGTGCACGAGACATGATCCCTTTCAAGGGCCGTGCTCCAAGGAGCCCCCCACCCGCAACCCCCCACCCCACCCCAGCTCTCATATCTACTTTGCTTATCCTCCTCCTCTGCCTGAAAACCCAGCCTGCAGGCTGAGTTTATCCGGGTTAGAAGGGGCTGCTTTTCCTCATGCCAGCTGGGGAGTCTGCAGGCACTCAGCGAACACTTGGATCACAGAGATCTCAATCACTCTACCTCCCCGTTTTACAGGCAGGAAACTGAGGCCCAGGGATGTCAGCTAATTAACTAGCTATTAGCTAGTTAACGAGCAGCAGGGTTTAGACTGAGTCTGCTGATGCGTAAGCCTAAGCCCTTTGTTCCCTTCCATTCTTTGTATAGCACTGTGCTGGGTGAGGCAGAGGCCCTCTTCTGGAACTGCTTACAGTTCAGGAAAGCAGGCAAACCAACCCCAGAAAGCTGCTGCACATTTTCTGTGATAGCCACAGGTTGGCCCTAAGAAAAGTTATAGCTCAGAGAGGAGGTCAAGTCCATGGACTAACCAGGGAAACTTCAAGAGGGGTAACTTATGGTTGAGTTTTTCAGGAGAGCATTCCAGCCTCAGGTCAGGACACGCTTCCTGGGGCTGGGCAGTGGAAGTGTTTAGGGGTAGGTGGGAGCACTTAGCTTGAAGGGCAGGGTGCATGTGACTTCTGTGTAGGTGAGAGGCACAGACTTTCAGGAAGTAAAAGGTGCTCTCTCCTCCTGGGACAGCAGCCCAAGCTCTTCACTGCCATGTTGCCCAGCAGAGCAGATAGAAAGGAGGGTGCAGGAGCTTCCTGTCAGGGGTGTGGTGAGTCAAGGGGGTTTCTCAACCTGCACCGTCAGTCCTTGTGGCGAATCTCCCAGGAAAGCAGACAAAATGGAAGAGGGACACTGGGACATGCCTGACATATTGCCAACATGTCATAGTCTCTGCCATCAGGTTGTCCAGCCAGTTTTAAGAACTGCAAGGAAGGGTCATTTAGGGGTTTGTGCCCAAGCTGGGCTTCTCCTCTGGATTAGTTTCCTTTGCCCATGGATCAAACACTGGCCATCTCTTGGCATATCAGTGTCTCCAACATTTTGTCCTGATTGGTTAGTAAAGAGGTCGCTGAGTTCTTGGATACCAGTCCTGCCTTTGTATGCCTAGCCCATCTAGATAGGAGCCCAGAGAAGCCCAGCCTGGGGAGGCAGGGGCTGCATTTGCCCTGGCCCCTCCAGGGCTCCCCCAGGACACCACAGACAACCTGCCCACCAGTGCCAGCAGGTCCTGAGGCGCCCAGCCTGCTGGACCCTGGATTTTGCTCCCCTAAATAGCCTGGGTCTGTGGCCCTTGAGGCTCAGTCACCTCTGCATAACTGTGGGACTCTGGCTCTGTGAGGCTCAGGACTCCTTTGGAGGGCCAGCAGGCAGATGGGCCCCTATGAGCCTCTCCAATTGCCCTGAAATAAATCCCCCTTTGACTGAGAGAGGGGTTTAGTTTTTCCTTCTCCACAGGCAGGATGGGAGATACCTCCCCACTGTCTCTGACCAGGAGACTGACCCAGCTTCCCACGGGAGGGGGGGCGCTTCTCTGCCGGCTGGCTGCTGCCCCTCTTTCCCCAAAGGGAAAGGTAGAGAGGGGAGAGCGGCTGAGGAGGGGCGCGGCCAGGGGCGGGGAGAGCCTGGAGGAGCGCGGGGAAGGAAGATGGAGGTGCCTGGTAAAACCGCGTTTCTCCTCCCTGGAGTTGGGAGCAATGAATCCATAGGCCTTTTTTTTCCACTGAAATGTGAGCATTTCAAGGGTGAGCGCTGCCCTCCCCGGCCGTGAGCGCCTCTGGTGTGTGTGCGCCTGTGTGCGCGCTTTCCCCTGTGTGTGCTACTGTCGCTGTCATCACAGATGTACCCCCAGCTGTCACTCCATTGCTCCGTCTCTTTGCTTGCGCGCACACGCGTGCTCTCTCCTCCTCTCCCTTTCCTTCCCCTCTCCTCTCTGTCTCCCTCTGTCCCTCCCTCTTTCCTTCTCAGTTTGTTATTGACCCAGCAGCCCCGTCCCCTTGGCAGCGGCGGCGGCAGCATTCCTGCTCCCCCTTGCTGTCTGCTGCGTGCCAGGTCCCCCGCTCCCGGCGGACTGGGGACTGACACTGCCCACTGTGCTCTGCTTGGCAGTGCTGTCTGGACTTCTCCAGGAATCCCAGGAGGGACTCACTGGATGGCTCAGAGCTACTTGATTTAAGGAGCTCGAGGTCAGGGTGAAAAAAGGTGAGTGCGTGGTGGGAAGAGATGAAGGGTTGGTGGGGTGCAGGGTGACTGGGGCATGAGGATTGGGTCCCATTGCCCAGCAAATAGCGGCTGCTGCCTCCTGCCTGGGCAGTTGCTGGGGTCGGGAAAGTGCTCAGGTTGGGACATCTGGGCAGCCCAAAGATAAGGGCACAGGGAACTCTGACCTCACCATGTTGAGGCCATGAGCTAGGATTCTGCTAAGATGGGGGAAGCTAGGGAAGGACAGGGAGGAGGAGGGCAGTGCCAGTGCCAGGTAACAGGCCTGTGTGACATAGAAACCAGTCCCTGCGGCATGGAGACAGCCAGCCAAGAACCCTGTGCTGTCTGCACGCCCGGCTCAGCAGACAGCCTGAGGAATTTGGGTGCTGTGGGAGAGGAGCTGCTGGTGACCGGGCTGGTAGAGAGCACGGCTGGGGGTTGGGAGAGGGCGGCGAGCAGGCTGGACCACTGTGCTGTCTGAGGCATGGGTATAGACCTCAGGGTCCTGACCTCTTTACAGGATGTCCTTAGTGTGGGACTATGGTCTTCAGGCAGCTGTCCTTGGACAAGGTGGCAGAGGGACCCTTCCCAGCTGGACATGGTTCCACATAGCTGTAGAGGAAGCCACCCTAGTGGGGGTGTGGCTGAGAGTGGATGAGGGAGAAGAGTCTTGCAGCTCTTCCTTGGTGAGCTCAAGGCCTTGCTCCGAGCCCACCCAAGGCTTAGTGGGGGTTATGGACTCAGCTTGGGGGTTTGGGTGGTCTACAGCCAGGCCATGCTGACCTGACTTTCAGACTCATGCCTACCTGGCATGGACACCCTGAGTTAGAGCAGGCCAGCCATTCTCAGCAATCCTGAGGTCCATTTTGACAATGCTGAGAAGGGGTCTGACCAGGAATCCTGACCTTCCAGCTCAGTTCCAGGTAGTTGCTTTGTCTTCTCCCTGAGCTGCGTGGTCTGTGTTTCTGGGGGTGATGGTGTGGTTGGCACCTGGCTGTCAGGGCATGTTGGGCATCACCTCTCTGTGACTCAGATTGACACTTTGTAGTTTGGACAACCACATCAGTTGGGGGAGGGGAGGAAAGTGAGCACGTGGAGATGGGTGGGGGAGTCCAGCATGGAGGGAAACCCGCAGCCGCTTCCTGCTCTTCCCACCCCACCTCCCCACTGTCACAGTCTCTGGCACTGCCAAAGAGGGATACCAGGAAAGCCAGCTGGGGGTGGCGGGAGAAAGAGGGGGGTTTCTTAAGCAACCGATCTTGTTTCTTTGGGATTTGATTAAAAGCTGTGTCTGGGGCCCGGATGAGCAAACCCTGTTCAGTTTCCCAGGCCAGGCATGTCAGAGGGTGCTGTGTTGGGGCTGCTTTAGGGTGAGTGGGCAGCATGGGAAGAGGTATCTAGGGAGCTCTGGGGTGGAGCAAGGAGAAGGAGCTTGAGCAGAGGCAGCCTCTCCCCTCTTGGGGCCTCCCTCCTAAGCCCCAGATAGGTCTCCTCGGCCCCACCAGCCCAGCCCTGAGCCCAGATCGATGGCGTCAGTGATCACTCAGCCCATTCAGATGGGAGAATGGCTTCCATGAGGAGTGACTTGGGTTTTCCTGTTCTGCTTTCCTTAGGGTCTGTTTGGGACTGGGAATGTCTGACAAGGAAACCAGTGCAGGAAGTAAGGGGGGTGGTGGTGGTGAGAATGGGGCATGCATTTTAAAATGAGTCAGGAGGGTTTGCCTGTTCCAGGTACCAACACAGAGATTTTAAAAAGCCTGCTTCTGTGCTGCCTGGGCAGTGTGTGTTATGGGGGGTGAAGAGCAGGGAAAAGATCGAGACTGTTTCCTGAACGACCAGGCTGGCAGCAGCAGGTGGACAGCCCAGCCCCCAACGGCCCCCACCACACAGGGCTCATCTTGGGACACCTCATTGTTCAGGTCCTTCTTGCCCTCCTGGGGTGGGGAGGACACTGTCCTTGCAGCCCAAGAAGTGGCCCCAATCCTAGCCTTGCCTCCCACTACCCTGTGGCCTCCACCTCGCTGCAGAGCAAAGGAGGCACAGAGAACACCGCGAAGGCCCTTTTTGGTTCTCGTTCAGTAAGTCTGGTGCTGAGGGGGACCCTTGTCCTGAGTCAAGGACCCTTGACCAAAGGGCGATACCAGGGCACATGGCATGACCAGCATGCCGTACCAGGGCTCAGGAACCCCATGTGGAGGCACAATGGGCATTAACTAGCTGTGCGGTTTGGACACTTGACTTAGGGGGATGGGCATGCAGAAGCATCAGAGGAAGGGCGTGGACATTAGGCCTGTGGTGGGCCTGTTGGCAGTTTCTAGCTGGAGTGTGAGCCCACTCATGGGGCAGAGGTACAGAGACGTCACGGCTCCTCGGCATTCTAACCTGAGTGCCTGCAGGGAATGAGAGCAAGGCAGGCTGCTCCTTACGGGGGCCCAAGGTGAGGCACCCCAACCCCGGGAAAGCAGATCCCTCTCCACCCAGGTCTCCAGGGGACACTGCACCCACTCAGCTCAGCAGAAGCTCATGGAACCTGCTCTTACTGTTGCCTCCTGTTCCATCACCACCTCCCCACCCCCGGCTTCTCACCCACCCTCTTCACCTCAGCACCCAGCCCTCTGGCAGAAGGCTTTCTAGAAAGTCCCCTCCACTCCCTGGAGCAGACCTTGCCCCCTGGGGTTTTCCCCGCTGCATCTGTGATATTTCTGGACAGAGGGTGGCTGTGGGGGAGAGCTGGCTTGCATCTCAGTCCAACATGGCACAGAGCTTGCTTCTCCGTCAGTAGGAGGGGTAAGAACACCTGTCATCCCAGCTTCAGTGAGAGAGCAGATGAGGAAACGCTCGTGAAGTATTGCACAAATGAAAGGTTCTATCTCTCTTTTCCTGTCTTTTCCTTCTTATACTGGGCGTGAGCAGGTAAGGAACAGAAGGAACCTAGCAGCTGTAAAGGCAGCTAAGTTAAGTTAAAAGGTTTTGTGGCCAGACCACTCAGGCCCAAAGCTTTATTTTTTTATTACCTAACTTGTGGGAAGTTACTTATTTTCCCGTGCCTCAGTTTCCCCCATATGCAAAGTGATGTTAATAATAATACTATAACAGAGATATAATAACAGAGAGCTGTTATGAGGACTAAGAGCACTATACAAAGGTGTTGTGACCATGCTAATGCCTTCCCCCTTACAAAGGCTTCTAGAAGGAGGTGCTAATGTCAGTGCCCTTCCCCTTCTACCCAGGTCACTGCCACTCCCTGGCTGGTGCCTGGCTTCCAGAGACTGACCAGCATGGCCTCCTGGGAGGTGCCAGTGCTTCTCAAACTTAAATACACATACACATTGCCTGGGTCTTGTTAAAATGCTGCTTCTGATTCCAGTTGGCCAGGGCTGGGGCCCAAGATTCTGCATTTCTAAGAAGTTCCTAGATGAACCCCTGCTCCAGATTTTGGAGTAGCAAAGGCACACAGCCCCTTCTTTCTTGTTTTCAGGGGTTCCCTCACTTGACTGATTTTAGCTCCTTAGTCCCATCCTCCAATCTTGGTTCTCCCAGCAAAACGTATGGGAGGAGGCCTAGGGTCCCTGCAGGGCCACCCTGTCTCTCTGGTATCTCTGTCTCTTGGGCTGGGACAAAAAGCCTCAGAAGGATTAGGAGCAGGTCCAGCATCCAGAGTCACAGGCTGTGGGGCTTGGAGACAGGAGATCTTTATGGCAGAACTCCTGACTCTTTTTCCATCCCCCATTCTCCACCCTGAGTGAGGACTTCCCTCCGAATGGTGTTAGTTTATTCCACCAGCCAGCCAGCACCTGCTGAAGCAGCTGCCCTGCAAGCTTCCTAATGTAGGTCATGTAGACCTCATGTAGACCTGATGAGGCTGGATACTTCTGGGGGTGCGAAGGGGTCTTTTGAATGGAGGTGTGCTAGTGGACAGAGGGCCAAGGAGCTAGGAAATGCTGGGGTCAAGCCTGTGTCTCCCTAAGGGTCACTTCCCTGGTGCCCCAGGAGATAGGGTCAGCTACCCAGGGAACACAGGCACCCCCTCCGCCCATGGACCTGGGGCCTTGTTGCATTACATTTCTCCAGAAATACCAGGGGCAATAGTGTCTTGCCACATCACAAAGTGCCACCTGTGGGTGTGTGTCGTGGCGTCCTGCCTGACTTGTGTTGTATAGTGACATCAATCAAGGCTGGGGATAGGGCGTCAGGATCTGCCCTGGAGGTTACTGTCTTTACTGAGTGATGCTTGCTAGTCAACACCTGGGCTCACTTTTAGGGGGACACGGAGGCCAAGGAAGGGTGGAAATTGGAGCCTCCTTGAAAAAGGAGCTCAGGCGGAAATAGGGCCTGGGCTCAGGTAAGACGGGTTCTCCGCCGCCTGCCTCTCTACAGAAATCTGGACTGATGGGTAGCAGAGGCAGGATTGGGTCCCCAGCCCTGTGTGGGTCTGAGCAGAGAGCACATCCTGGAACTGTCCTGGAGCGTTTGATGTAGACTGGAGGTGTCCCTGTCCATCTGTGTGGTGGGGGCTTTCAGGAACTGCCAGGAGTCTTATTCTGCTGTGCTCTGAATATTGGGTCTGAGAAGGAGGTCTGGAGGGCTGCCAGCAGGGCATGTGTGTGCGCGCGTGCGTGTGTGTGTTAGCACGTGCCTAATTGCACGGCTCTCTGTGGGTGTGTGTTTACACCACATGCTGTGTTGGGAGCTCCAAGCACATGTCTGGGAACCTATGTGCACCCCGCTCTGTGCACACATAAGTGTCTCCTCACAGAGGCCATGCTGGGTGATAGTCACTGGAGAGTGGACAGGCTCAGAAGCCTGCAATTCTGTCCCTGATCTACTGTGACCTTGGGCAAGTTGATCATTATCTCAGTGACTTGGGTGGCTGCTGACCTGCCTAATACTGTGTGGGCTCTGTGAGCTCTTGATATGAGGGTTCTTGCTGGAGTAAGAGATTGTTCTGAGGGTCAGGGCCTGAGGGACCTGTCTGTGATGGAGGTATGGGAAGGCTGTGTGTGTGAGCACGGCCTGCAGTGAGCATCATGTGATGGTCCCCAGGCCTGGCACAGGCTCAGGAAGGCAGCCATGTGCTCAGGCATCAAGAAGTAGGCTCATATGTGAGGTTTGTGGGACCGGGAAACAGCTATCCCACAGGCCTGCTGCAAGCTGCTGGTGTTTCCTCACGTCTAGCATGGGCTCAAGTCCAAGCTGGGCTCATTCACCTGAATTATCTTCTGAGGTAATTTGTGTATAACATATAGTCAATGTTAACGCTCCTCCCTGATTAGATTGATCCTCACAAAAATTCCACTCATTAAACATCACCATTGTCGCTTTTAGAGCTAACTAAGATAACCGAGGCCCAGTGAGTTTACAATGTTTGTTTAAGGCTTCAGGGCTAGGGAATGACCTGACAGGGATTTGAACAACACCTGAACTACTCCAAGCACAGTCCCCACGCCTAAGCCCAGGGTCTTGGGATCCGTCCAGTGGGCAGTGTGGAGACCAGGCTGCTCCCCACACCTCACATCTGTGCCCAGTTGTGGAGACACACTCTGCCAGCCCCTGCGAGACCTTCACAACCTGGAGCCCTCCTGATGTGGCAGGGGGGGAGAGGAAAGACAAAGCCAAGAGGAGACAGAGCCCTTCTCCTCCTGAGCAGGCTGCCCTTGCTGGGAGCACAGCTGAAGATCCCGTGGGGGCTGCTGTATACTAAGTGGGTTCTGCCGCCCTTGGGGAGATAGCTGTAACCAAGGGAGTGGGGGGAGAGAGGCAATGAGACCAAGAGCTGCAGCAGGACCCTACATGCCTGAGGGAAACCCTGCTTCACCCGAGATTTCAGATCTGAACACAGGAGCTTCCCAGGAGCTCTTTCTACCCCCTCAGCGGTCTGTTTAACTCTGCCACTGGCTCTTCAGGCTTCCAGAATTAACCAGGCCTGTGGCGGGGGGAGGGGGAAGCTGCAACCAGGAATCGCCAGGGATGAATTTGGCAACCGAGGGAGGTCAAGCTCCAGGAGCCAGCCAGGCGCAGTGGTTGACAGGACGGTGCCTATGAGAGGAGGACAGGCCTGGCTCTCAGCAGTCTCCCCTTAGCCTCCCATCCCATTTTCCCACCTTGCCCTGTGCCAGCTGCAGTGGCAGCTACCACAATCCCCTTTCCCACCCTCTGATGAGGCTGGGAGAAAGGAGGCTCTGGGCTCCATCTAAGGACCCTTGGCAATATCCAGAAGGAAGAGGGGACCAGAGGAGGGCCAGTGTCCCACTCATGAGTCATTGGGTTGGGGTAGGGCAGGTCCTCAAGACCCTTGAAAAGGTGAGTCTCCCTGTTTTGCCCTCTCTGGAAGAAAAATCTGCTTTCTGCGCCCCCTGGTCTGCTCCTTCTGGTCTGCAATCTCACCCTCTCTTCCGTGTCTCTGTCTTTTGTGTGAACAGCTGCTGCAGCATGAACCCCTGAGCTCTTATTATAGACCGGCAGGCGGAAGACAGTCCTGCGACTCACTCTCAGGCGAAGGTGGAGGGGAAGCAGGCAGCCTGCGGAGGGCCTGTGTGACCCAGCGGTGGGGTCTCCGGAGGGCCTGCTCTCTGCCTCCTCGGGGGCCATGGTAAGAGCCACGGTGGGACTGGGAGCAGTGTTGCTGTCTGTGGCCTCACTCTGCTCACCTAGCAGAGATGTCCCTCAATTTACCCACTGTGACATGGAAAATCCGAGACACAGAGGAGGTCATATCGCTCTGAGAACATTTTAGAGACCAACACACCAGAGAGGCAACAAGAAGAGGCAGGGGGAGGCCGGGGCTTGGGGACACTGGGGAGTCTGTGGGAGCAATTCCTGCATCTCACAGCCCAGAGCTCAGCAGGGTGCCTCAGACTGAGAGTTCCTGGGGATGCCTGAGCCTGACCCCCACATCACCCCCAAGCACCCCAGGGAGGTTGAAGGTTTCCTGGCTTCTTTGCCTCTCAGTTCTCTTCTTCCCCCCACTCAGGAAATCATAGCTGAGAATAGGAGAGGGGATGACGAGAAGTGTAAAGAGACACCAGGGCCCTCTCCCTAACCCCTGGGCTGGACGGGCCTGGGCCATGAATGCCTGCTTCTGCTCAGCGCTCTCTCTCTCTCTCTCTCTCTCTCTCTCTCTCTCTCTCTCTCTTTCAGGACTGACAGGCAGCACATACCAAGGGGCTCCCCTGTCCCCAGAGGTGCAGGGCTGCGAGAGCTGTGGCATTCACCATGCTGGCCCTGGGCAGTGGCCCTGAGCAGAGGATCAGGCTGGTCCTGCAATGGAGGCAGATCTCCTGTGAGTATGGTGGGTGGGTGGGGTGGAGTCGGGGACCCGGCGGTGGGCTTAGCTTGGCTTGCAGTGCTGCATCTGGGCTGGAGAAAGGTCTAAGACATCTTCCCGGGAGGCTCAAGGACTGGCTCTAGGAAGCCAGGGATTACCAGCTACAGTCCTGCCATGTGAATGGCATCTGTGGAAACTAAAGAAAGTATAGCTGCTGAGAGCCTTAATGGTTAGATCAGGAGCTCGAGGCCATGACAGGAGATTTTGTCTTCCTAAGTTGGTCTGTTGCTGAATCCAGGAGGCCCACCTACCACCCTCAGCAGTCCCAGCTTGTGCGAGCCCTGCTGCTCTAATGGCTAGCCTCCTTTTTATCTCGCCTGGACCATCTGCTGGGTGAAGCTGTAGGCTCTCTCATGCCTCAGTCTTCCCAACTCTGAAATGGAAGGAACTAGCAGGCTCTTGGGATGTGGGGCTGGAAGGGACCTTAGGGATCATGTCCAACCCTCCTTCTGCCTACGAGGAAACAGGCTGTCCATTTCTCATAAGGAAACTCATAAGGAAGTTTACACAGTCATCAGGGTGAAAGAAGCCCTGAGAATTCTCTTTATGGGAGGTAAAGGGACAAGGTCAGTGAGGACTGGTTTGCCCCAGGGCACATGGTAAGAGGTAAGAAATGGTCCTGACTTCTCCCCTCGAATAGCCAGCCATGTCTGGCAGCTGCCTCACCACACAAGCAGCCTGAATTATTTACTATGTGCGAGTGGCTCATCCCTGAGCAACTCAGATCCCCTTTCAACCTCATTCTGGAATCACTCAACACCTCACAATACAAGATTATGTTTTCTTGTCACTAGGGCTTTTATGTCACTCAGTTTCTTGGAGGCGGGGGATAGTGGTTTCTAGTTATGTGGAACCTTTTGAGAGAGAAGCTGGTTCATTTGATTGTTTTTCTGGAGAAAGTGAAGGCTGAAGAATGTCAATTCTCAAATGGCATGGTGGTGGGCAGTATGGAGCAGGCTGACCTGGCAGCAGATGGCTCCGAAGGGTGAGAGGGTGAGAGGTAACAGCAGGTGCCCCCATGTGCCCAGGAAGGGTCTCCAGTTGACTTCCATGGCTATACCTGTGCTCATTTCCCCTCGAGAACAAAGAGGCTCAGGTGACAGCTTTGCAGTGTGCCTCTGCTGTCATCGATCCTTCAGGCAGGGGAGGGATACAGCCTCATCTTGTTCCTTCCAGTTCTGCCCTTTGGGACACCAGACAACCAGACACCTACGACACAGACTCAAGACCATCCTATCCAGGCACCCAGGTTGGGTGGCTGCTGCCTCTCTGGGTGGACCAGCTGGCTAGTCTGAACATCTTTATTGCTTCTCCAGCTGGGGCATTTCCTCTGGGCTCGGTGGGGCTGACTTGGTGCAGCTGAGCTATTTTGAGCTCATCCCTTTTCCCTTCCACAGTGAGCAGTCTTCTCTGATACCCAGGAGCAGTTAAGGAGTTCTTGCCATCACTCTTAGAAAGGGCTGCTGCACAATGAAATGAGCTGCCCTGTTGTGATTGTTCTCTGAGGGCCCCCCAGCCCTTCCACAGGCTGGGCTCTGAGCTTGCTACTCATAGGGTCCTGGGTCAAATATAGGACCACAGAAAGAATGCTGTTAATAGATCTATCCTGCAGAAATGCTACCCTACAGCCCTTAAGAAAAGAGCTCTGGCAATGGGCATGGATGGCTTTAGAATGGGAATGAATAATGGAACTTGTCCCAAGTTTCATGATTTACAGTGGCTTGAATGCTTGTAATATTCAATGTAGAAGTCAAATTGTGCATCTCATCCTTATCATTTGCACAGTGGTCTCTGGAGTGGACCCTGGGTGGGCTGGACTCCTGGCTGGTCCTCACACTAAGTTGCCAGCCCCATGTTGGATGTAGGACTCATGCCGATCTGACACACTGGGAGGTTGTAGGGGCAGGATTGGAGGGTCTCTTTGAGTTCCCCCTTCCATGCATGGCATGTCTTAGCCCAGGTTAGGGGTAGGGGTGCAGAGGTGAAGGAAACAGCAGTGTGGCCATTTTCTTTTGGAAAGAGAACCTTTCTCTTGGCAGTGATACTGAGAAAAAAACATGGGAGCAGGTTTCTCTGACATCCTTATATCCTTTATTCTGTCAGTATCTATGCTGTCAGTGGGGCCCAAGTTCCCAAGAAAATCAACTGCGGGAGGCCACATGAGCTGAGGCATCTTTGTGGACCAGCACGGCTTGTCCTCTGGACTCAGCTCTGCCATTCTGCAGGATTCTACTCTACGAAAGTGATTTCTTTGCCAGGTGTGCTGTGAGGCAAGGAGCCCTGCTGACACTGTGTGATATCCAGTAATATAGAAGTGCTTTGGGTTTGTTAGTTATCCTTTCATGTGGTTAATAAATGTTTGTGCATTGATTGTGACTTGGACCAAAGGAGATAAAGCCAAGAGGCCTTTATGATATGAACTAGCAAGTAGGGACTAGAGGCCAGAGGCAGTAACCTCTGCCTGTCACTTTCTTTCCACCTGTCTGTCCACCCCCCTCCACTCCCGCCCCTCCAGGGATCACCTGCTGGATCACCCTGTGTGCAGTGGAGGCCCTCCCTGCCTGCCCTTTCTCCTGTAAGTGTGACACCCAAAGCCTGGAGGTGGATTGCAGTGGCCTAGGCCTCACCACTGTGCCCCCCGACCTGCCCGTTGCCACCCGAACCCTCTTGCTCTTGAACAATAAGCTAAGTGCCCTGCCAAGCTGGGCTTTCGCCAACCTGTCCAGCCTGCAGCGGTTGGACCTATCCAATAACTTCCTGGACCAGTTGCCAGGCTCCATTTTCGGGGACCTGACCAATCTGACAGAGCTGCAGCTGCGCAATAACAGCATCAGGACCCTGGACAGAGACCTGCTGCAGCACTTGCCCCTGCTCCGCCACCTGGACCTGTCTATCAATGGCTTGGCTCAGCTGCCCCCAGGCGTTTTTGACGGGCTCCCGGCTCTGCGTTCCCTATCACTGCGTTCCAACCGCCTGCAGAACCTCGATCGGCTGACGTTTGAACCCCTAGCAAGCTTGCAGCTGTTGCAGGTTGGGGACAACCCCTGGGAGTGTGACTGTAACCTGCGTGATTTTAAGCACTGGATGGAATGGTTCTCCTACCGAGGTGAGCACAGCCAGCCCTGCCTGGGTGTGAGGAATTGGGAGGATCACCCCTTGCCCAGCACATTTCCTGGAAGCTGGGCGTTGACTCAAGGCTGAGGTCAGCGGGAAAACGGGGTGGCCTTGCCTCTCCACTAGCTGGGCTAGAAGGGTCTCAGCCGAACCTCCAAATGATCAGCAGGACAGTGAGGCCAGGGTGCTGCTCCCCTTCCTCCCCTACTGGTTCGCTTTCTTCTCTGTGTCTCCCTGTCTACTCCCATTCTCCTTTCTCTTCTCTTTTTTTTTCAGATTGACTCACTGTAACTTGATCTCACTTTCGTAGATTTCATGAGTGAACTTAAAGACACAGTATAATTTTTCTCTGCATCCCACTAGGTATGGTTCTGGGCTTCTCCGGCTTGGTAAACGAGGAAGAAAAACCACCCTTCTTCTTCTGAATACAGCGATCCCTTAAATATTCAGTTTTGGGAGGGCAGAATACAGTTTAAATCCACAGATAAAACCATATTTTCATTTTGATGATGATCTCAACTCTTTCTCCCCAAAACTTTTGTTATCAAAACTTTTAATAAGAAGCCAAATGGTTTTGATTTTACTTTCTTTCCCTTCCCTCTTTCATTAACCAGGAAAGTTCTATAATGACCTATGAAATGACTAAATGGAATGGAAAAGGAGGACAAAGAAGTAAGCAGAGTGGCTAAAAATGCTAGAACTGGGTTTGATCTGTGGCTCTGCCACTTACTAGCTGTGTAATCTTGAGAAAGGTGGTTAACTTTGCTGTGGCAGGGCTCTCATCTGTAAAATGGGGTGAATAACAACATCTATCTCAGAATCATTGTGAGAATTAAATAAGTAATGCGTGTAAAGTGTCTTAAAAAGTACCTAACATTAAGTAAGTCCTCAATAAAAGTTCTCATTTATTTGTTCATTTGCTAGTAGTAGTCATAATATTAAATGGACATAATGAGACACATTTTGGTGCCCAGCATAAAGTAGAAGCTCAATGCACATTTGCTGAATGAATCAATAATTGTAATATCGAAACTCTCTGTGGAAAGAATGCTAACACTTTTCATCAAAGTCTTACTCCTTTCGTTTCATACCCAGCCACAGTCTCAATTATTTGCATGCCATTCTCATGTGTTAGTTATTAAAAACATTTTACACTCTATTATGTGCCATAAAATGTTAGTAACTATGATAATTTCTCCCATTTTTTTGTGAGTGGGGAAATAATAATTAATACTTGCATAGGTCCCAGTTTACAGATACCTTTTCATGTGCATTATCTATTTTAATCCTCATAGCTAATTGGGTGAACCTTCTTATTTTACAGCCAAGAAAATGAAGACTCATAAGCAGTTAAATACATTAAATAATTTGCACAAGGTGACATAGCCAGGACTCACTGTCAGGTCTTTGGAGCAGGAACACAAGTTTGCCCCCTGCCAAAACCCAGCTCCTGCCTGTACAAAGGCAGCCCTGGACACATGTCACTGGATGTAAGACTTGCTAAGGTCACCCAGGCAGTCTGTGGCACAGGGAAACCAGAGGCCTGGTGTCTTCAGACCCCAACCAGTGTGTTACCCCTAGGGAATGTCCTTGTCCTTTCATGTAGCCATCAGGAACTAAACGTTCGGTACAACAAGGCATGGAACGGGAACATATATTTTCAGAGGTTTTCAACAGTAGTTTCCAACCTTGCATTCCTTCAAACAAACAAACAAACAAACAAACAAAAAAACAATCCTGGGCTGTTTTCATCAGCACCCTGGGAAAAAATTGATATCTGTTGTATGCAGCAGCTGGGCTGGGAGAGGGAACTGGCAGTGAAGGAGGGTAGGAGCTGAGTCCATTCACTGGGAGCCTATTGCCTGCATCTAGATCTCACTGGAAGCTGAAAAAGGGCCAAGATGCCACTCTGACTTCCCGGGGGTGTCCAGGCAGCTCATTCTCCTTAGCTGCCCTCTCTCGCCCCACCCATGTTCTGCATCTCCATGGTGGAGCTTGGCTGTGTACCCGTGTACTCATCGCTACCTGCACCACCACCCCCATTAGCACTAGCCCCCCTCTTTTGCCCGCATGGGTCTTCAGGATTCCCTGCTGACGTGCTTCTGCACTCAGTGATGCTATGGTTGGAGTGCTGGCGGGGTCATTGGATGGTTCTAAGGAGGAAATCTTATACAACCCTTTTTCTCTGTGCTCAGGTACTCTTAGGCAACCAAAAGGTCTTGCATGAAAGAGTGGTGGCTTTTGGCTTTTGTGGTTTTTTTTGTGAGAAGGAAGGGTCCTGGGGGGAAAAGACACTGTGTTGAGCACAGACAGTACCTTGGGTTTACAGATGGGTGGTAAGCAGGCAGATTCAGAGGCAAGGAGAGAAGCAGAACTGTGGTGTGGCAGGGTGCTGAGCTCTTTGCACTGACAGGTCTCTCCTGAGCATCTCCACATGTCAGCATTGTCTCACTACATGTATCAGTTTGACTCTGGAGCAAGTAGTTGTGACTGAAACGGCTGTATGCTTCTCTATAAACTGGGAATCATGACCATATCCATTTTGTATGGTTTATGCTCGGATAAGACGATGTGATATATGTGCCTCACTGACCACGGTACTTGGCTCAATAGATGCTAGTGTCCCTTCCTCCTTCCTCTCCTATCCATGTGATCCCAGGACTGAGTGCTTTACTGATAGAAACTAGAACTTCTGGGCCTTTCGTTTTGGGGATTTGGGGATGGGGAGAGGGAATCCAGCTTCTGGATGTCTGGTCAGCCCTTTCTTCCTTCTCCCCAATGCAGGGGGTCGCCTGGACCAGCTTGCCTGCACCCTCCCCAAGGAGCTGAGGGGCAAGGACATGCGCATGGTCCCCATGGAGATGTTCAACTACTGTTCCCAGTTGGAGGATGAGAATAGCTCGGCTGGGCTGGACAGTTCTGGGCCACCCTGCACCAAAGCCAGCCCAGAACCTGTGAAGCCCAAGCCAGGGGCCGAGCCCGAGCCCGAGCCCAGCACAGCCTGCCCCCAGAAGCAGAGGTACCGGCCAGTGAGCGTGCGCAGGGCCATTGGCACCGTGATCATCGCTGGGGTTGTCTGCGGCATCGTCTGCATCATGATGGTGGTGGCTGCCGCCTATGGCTGCATCTATGCCTCCCTCATGGCCAAGTACCACCGGGAGCTCAAGAAGCGCCAGCCCCTCATGGGGGACCCAGAGGGCGAGCATGAGGAGCAGAAGCAGATCTCATCTGTGGCATGAGAGCCCAGCCCCACCTGGCCCAGGTAGGAAGGGCAGGGAAAGCCCATGGGGATTGTTGCAGGAAGAGCTGGTGTATTCTTCTGTCACAGTCCCCAACTCCGCTTTCCTCCCAGCCCTCCAGCAAACCAGCCACAGTGTGAACTTCTAAGTGTCGCGGAAGCTGCCATTGTGCTGAATGCTCCTGCTGATGCTCCTCTCTGAGCCACCACATCCTTGGAACACCTTGGGGGTCTCCCTGAGCTTCCGGCCATAGGGAAGAAAGAACATGTGTGCAAGTAGAGGCTGCTGGACTGAGCACCCCTTTGCCCTTCCTGCCCTGGGTGTAGTCACAGCTAAGTGACTCTCCTTGCCTCTTGTCCAACCCCCCTTCTCTGCATTTAAGGGCTGGGGAGGAAGCGATACGGGGCCAGGAGCCCATTTCCGCAACTCTCTTCTAAGCCACGAAGATATTCTTAACTACCCTTCAGTGAAAGTTGTGTCCGGCTTTCAATTGCTGGTACAATCACACCCATTCCGCCATCTGGACCCAGTACTTAGAAACACAATGCTGTGATTATAACACACTCCCTTGGCTGAGGCCATTATGTCCCTATATCTCTTAGATACCACGCCAACCACACTGCTCCTGGATTCACTAACTTACTCTCACATAAACTCATAGCATCACCAGCGAAATAACATCGATTGAAAAAAAATCTCACACATACGTACACACACACACACACACACACGCACACGCACACACATACACACAGAGTCACGTGGAGACAGAGGTCATGAGAATGTGGGGAGCAGAAGCATGCCTCCTCCTTGGATCTCTAGCTCTCAGATCACAAGACCTTTTGCTTGCTTACTGCAATCTTCTCAAGTCAAGAGGGGGGAGAAACCAAACTGACAGCACGGGATGGATGCCTTTGAGATCCTCTAAAGTGGGCCAAATGGATGAGCCTGCCTGTCACCATGGTAACCCTCTCACACCCGTCCTGCTGGGTTTTCCAGGGACACCAGCTCAGAGGCCTTGAAGCTGCAGTGCCTGTGGAGAGCACCTCCTAAGAGCCAGGTGCTGCCTGAGTTGTGTCACTGCCAGGCCCTGTGGGGACACCCACCAATTCCACTCCTATAGCCTGCAGCCCAAGAATCATTGCTCTGTACCTTTCACCCCTCCATCTTCAGCATCTCTGGGCCTGTCACCTCTGGTGGGGACTGGGCCATGCTTGGTGATTGGTGGCATCTTGGGAAAGCAGGTGGTCTTCGCTGAGCTCACTGCCTGCCAACATCTCCCAAATAGACCCAGGAGCAGGGCACTCTGCTCAGAGGCTTCAGTGATGGGGCTTCCTTTCCCAGGGTTTGGTCTGCTTAGTCTGGCTTCCCAGAGGTTTTCATTGTTCCTGGACTGGGGTCTGAACCAGAGCATGGGCCAGAGGTCCTGTCTGTTCTTCTGCTGGAACTTATACCAAAGGGGCAGAGATACTTGTTTGCAGGGCTGTGGGAGTGGCAGTGAGAAGAGGGCTATATAGGATTTAAGGGTCACCAGTCTTCCTTTCTAGGTCTGCCCCTCTTCATGCATCTAATCCGGGTGAGTACTAGTCTCCCTCTGCTGGACACTGGTTTTTCCATGGCTTCCAGAAGGGTGAGATGCATCCGGCTGGGCTCTGGCTCTAAGGCAGGCTCTAATTGGTGACCCAGGAAGAAGTTACCAAAATACTGAGGCCAAGGGTCTGGGGAGGGACAGGGCAGGTCAGGGCAAGCCCAGCTCATTTTGCATTCCTCACCCTGCCACCTCATAGAGGAGCTTGGTGGGGGAGGGGGTGATGGAGGAGGAGGGTGCTTTTGAGAAGGCCATTCTCCAGTAGGGGTACAGAGGGAGCCCCAGCATAGGTTGCTAAATGCCCTTCCTGAGGTGGAGGCACAGTCTTCCTTCTTCTGGCTTGCCAGCTGAAACCAGATCTAAGGATCCCTAAAGGGAATGGGGGAGGGGTGGGCATTGTCAATGGTGGTATCTTCATCCTGAGACAGAAGATTTTTAAAGGCAAAATTATATTTCTGGTTTGTTGTTTCAGAAGACCAATAAAGACTGTATTTTCCTATGTACTTCCTGGTTTCCTTGGGTGGGGAGGGTAGGTGGGTGCTGGGAGAGTGGCTCCCTGCCCCTCACCTCCTAGGCAGCTGCCCAAAGTGCTGCCAGATGTCACCACAATGTCCAGAACTCCATAAGACAGGTGGGAGCCTCCCACCCGAGGCCTCGCCTTGGGACGCCACCAGGAGAGAGCAAAGAGAAGAGCTCTGGATTAGAATGGGCCTGTAGCTGAGTGTGGCAAGCTTGCCTGTATGCTAGCCTGATGGTAGGAGACATGAACCTCAGGCTGGTTTCACTGGGAAGCAGCGTGACTTGTGGGGTGAAGAGGGGAGGTGGGGACCCATCACTGCTCTGCACCCTGGGGTGCTCATCCGTCCTAGCTTGAGTCACGGGCAGATGGGCCCATGTGGCAGGAAGGCATACATCTGCCCAGAGGACCCCCACTATGTAATGAGAGGGAGCAGTTAGGGGTCTTCTCTGCGGGCTGGGTTTTATTAGTTTTGGTGACGTTGGTGGCATTTGCTGACAGGAAGGAGGAGACCCGCTTCACCTATTACTATCTTGCACTTCCAAGACTGACTTTAGGGACAGACAGAAGATACTCTGGGCTTACAAATATGATCTCTCCATAAGGATCGGTAGGCTGGGAATCAGGATTAGGGACTGGAGAACTGGGGATGGCAGAGACCAGGAGAGGATATGAGTGAGAGAGCAAGACCTCTAGGGTTGCTCAGGTACCCCAAGCCCAGGTGACTCACATTCAGGCCTGGACTAGCCTCTGGCTGACTGGGCCTGGGCTATACAGTTCATTAGTTTTCAGAGACCAAGATGGAGTTGTCTCCCTGCCAGGAGGCTTCCTTTGGATGAAACCCCAGTGAGCCAGGAGCAAACCCCAGGGAGAAGTGAACCATCAGGGTCCCCATTTCTGGAGTTCAGCTGGACTCCTGGCAGAACCCGGCTGTTCTCCTTTCTAGGTAGTGATAACTGTGGGGTGTTGCCTTCCTGCATCCCTAACAGGTATAGCAGATCTGAGAACCCTGTCTTCCCAAGCCCCACTGCAGAAGCAGGGCACAGGGCCCCTCGCAAGCCTTGCAAGATCTTAGCAGTGCAGACACCCTATTCAAGTTGCGCCTGAGTGCACACAGGTCTGATGGCCCGCCCCCGTGTGGGCAGGCTGCTAAGGAGAGAGGCCCATTGCACAAAGGCCTCTGTCCGGGGCACATGTGTACTGCAGGGCATGTGCTAGACACACACTTGCAGATTATGGCGTCATTGTCATTATGTTTGGCAATATTCCCCAGCTAGGGCCTGGAGGGTATGGAGAATTAAAACTAGATTCAGATAAAAGTTAGATTTCTAGAAACTTGGCATCAACTGTTGATAACTCGTATGCTTAGATCCTTCCTCATTTATCTGCCCTTCTGTACAAACCCATGGCATTATACCCACAGCTGCCTGGCACATAGCTGGCCTCTGTAGCTGGTCCGACTGCCCTTCTCTCCTTACTGAGTGCACAAAATCACACCTGCAGCCTGCCCAATAGACAACATGCTCACCCAGTGCTGGAGCTCACATGCACACAGTGCCACCAGTTTCCACAGGCTGAGGCTGCCAGGACAGCCAACAAGCTGCCACCCTGCTGGAGCTGTAGGCGCCAATGCCCTCCCCCTCCCCCAAAGGATCAGGAAGGCTGAGCCACAGGCTAGCCGAGGAAATGACAAAAGGAGACCAGCAAAAAGAATAGTTGGAGTATAAGGTCTCCAGTGCCTCATCCTTTTCCTGTCACATTTATGCACCGCAGCACGTCAGAGGGATTGTCTGCAATGTGTTAAACCAGAGGCACCAGGACACAGTTTCTATGGCAACGCCTCACAGCTTCAATTCAGCTCTGAGTTAAAAATGATATCAAATAATTGGAGAGTGCAGGAGAGCACAGCCGGCAGCCTGACTCCATGTCCCTTCTCTTTCCTAGACTTTCAAGTGTGTAGGAGCTGAGACACCCATGTCATGGAGGGAGCAGGAAGGCACAGGCTCAGGTGGGACCACAGGGAGACAAGTCTGCGGTCAAATTTTGGCCTAGAAATGGGTCTGGATTTGGCTTGCCATGGACTAAGGGGATAAAAGTGGCCAAGATGACGTGGGTTCCTTCCAAATGCTGGAGCGGGGCGTCCTGAAGACTATCCTCCATGCAAGTGTTTCCTGATACGTGTGCTGAGCAATGTCAGACCGAGTCATTTTCCCCCAGCTCTTATCCCGGGGTGGAAAGCAGCCCAACAACCTGACTCAGGATGACCTTGTGCCCTCCTTGAGACAGGAAGACAGAGTCGGACCCTCTCTGCCTAACCCCAGCCTGCTGCTCTGTGCCCTTTGCCCTGTATTCAGCCTGAGGGGAAGAGGCGCACTGATCCTGCCTGCCCCACCCCACTCCAGCTGCTGAGTCCTTCTGTGTGGCTAAGGGGTTCCCGGGGAAGCCGGACAGGTGCCTGATTCAAGGACGCATGATGGCTGATGCTCGAATGCCCATTGGATAGCACCGCTTTTTAGAACACGGCGGGGTCTGAGACAGGCAAGCTGACACCAAGATAAGGAGGCCTCATCACACAGGCCTGATAGCTCTCAGACAGCAAGGCAGAGACACCAAGGGCTTTTTTAGGCGCCAAGTAACTACAAAGTCAGGGGCCGCTTGTGAGGGTCATTGGGTGCTCTCATCACAGTCGAGGCATTGCCACACAGGTTTGTGAATCTGGGCCTTAAAGAGAGGCAAACTGAGTTCAAATTCTAGCTTTATTAATTATTAGCTGTGAGACTTTAGGCAAAGAACTTTTCTGCGTCTCAGTTTCTTCCTCTGTAAAATGGAGCCAGAAGCCTGGACTTTGCTGGATCACTCTAAGGGCTGAATGAGACCGTGTATGGGAAGCAGACTCCCAGGCGCCTGGCACATGCTGAACACACACACTGAGCTCTTATTTTAGGATTTGAGTCACAGCCCAGCCCTCTCTTCAGAGGGACACTAAGCCCCGGGTGGTGGACGAGGGAAGCAGCGTGCTGAGGGATGGAAAGGAGGTCTGGATCGCAGTTTCTGTCCTGTGTGAGGCTTCAGCAGATCTCTTAACCTCTCTGGGCTTCATAAATTCTTTTAGACCTAAGGTTTTTTCATAAACAAAATGGCTTGGGAAGACTCCACTACCGTCAGTCCCACATTTCACCTGGGAAAAGTCACAGCCAAGGACTGTGGCCCCAGACCATAGGCAGGGGTCCTCCTGCTATGTCCGTGTGCCTTACTCTTGACATTGACTCACAACTTCTCGGCCGCCACGGCATAAAGGGCAGCTCTTACCTGCAGCAATGGCTGTCTTCTTGTCCACTGTCACCGCTACAGCTGTGCTCACTGTTACCACCACTGGCTTGCCTGGACTTCCTGGGGAAACAAAAATTGCCAAGTCACTTTCTCAGCAGCTGGTGAAGAGCGGTGGTTGGGGTAGGCTGAGAAGACAAGTATAAATACTAGGTGAGGACATTCCTTGAATAGCTGAGGGGGGTGTTTGAGGAAGTTGTTGCTGTGATAGCTCTGTTACCACCAAGCACTGGTCTTGGCAAAGAGACCCCTAAGGGCCAGGCCCCAACCTCTTTCTGTGCAGATCTGAATCTGACAGATAAGTATGTTGTGGCCCTGGCCACCTGGACAGTGCAGTGCTGTCAGCGTCACCAGGACACCGTGAGTTTGCTCTGTCTAGGGTAGCAAACCTGTGTGCTTGCTGCTGTCTCACTTGAACTTGGGGACCCTACTGTGACTGTCCTTTTGGCATGCGTTCCACTTATTAATAGAAGATGTGCATTACATCAAACGTCTCTTTCAAGCAGGACAGGCTGCATTCCAGGGCTCGGTGGTGGCTGATCCTGGATTGTCCTTCATCAATCACATGAGTCAGGGTGACACTGACTGTCCCTTCAGCAAGCCAGAAGCCAGACGCTGCCTCAGGCACAGAAGGCTGGTTGGTGACGGATGGATGCATCCCAGGTACTCCATGAATTCTGGGCATTGGTGGCCCACCTGCCACCACCACACCATTGTCCCACAATGCCTTTCACTTGTTTTGCAGCTGGTTACTGCACTTCTGGGACACTCTGCAAGGCTCCTAAAGGGCAAGGAGCTTGCCTTGAGTTGCTTTTCT